GCTACTTATGCCATAAAATACTGCTGAAATCAATGGGACTATTTATGGAGTCATTTGCTATTCAAAGGGCTTGATTCTCTGATTATTTATTCTGTTTTTTCAGTAGTGTTACTCTGCTTACTTGAACAGAGTTACTTCTATTTTAGCTGATGCAAAAGAAACTACAGTCAAAGGTGACAGAGTCTGGCACAAAATGTCTTTGAAAATAGTTGCTTCAAAATAAAGAAAATAATATCTTTGGATAAGTGCAAATCAAAATTTAACAAAAAAAGCCCAATCTGGACTTTGTATGTTCAGTTGGATATTCCAAACAAAAATGAATGCTCAAAGGTAGCATTATTTTTGAAGTTCAAACACTCCCTATATGCTTGACAAATAGCATCTGTCTAGAACTAAATCTTGCCTCACTGATGTCATTAAGAGACCTTAAACAAAGATCAGATTTCATACTGCAGAAACAAGCTTACAACAGCTTTTGTTAACAAAAGTTCTTCATTTCATAATGCTTAAATGCCCAATTTGTGGGCCATTCCAGCATATTTCAATTATTTAATTGAGTCCACAGTCTTGCTTCCCACTGTCTCCTTTCTCAAGCTCCTTAAACATGTGGGTGCAGTCCAAGCCCTGGGTGAGATGAATAATCCTGATAGCTGCAACTTCCTATTTGACAGCTGTCCTCAGGGTGTGGTCCCAATACAGGTGTCCTGAATGCCTGACATGCACAAAGCTTGTCCTCTTGCAGGGTGGCATTTGAAAGCTCCCCTTTTTGACATCTCCAAGGCAGGCAGGGAGCAAGAAATTATCAACAACTGCTTGTGCATGAGCTATTGCAGGAAATAAAAAGGCTTCTAAGAAGCAGCAGACTTATTGTGCCTGCTTTGCATGGCTTCTGAGTAAATGTGTGCATACTTTCGGATTTTATGCACATGTGAAGATCAGCTGTCCCGGTTATGCATGGTGGGTGGCATGCTGTGGCAAGAAGAATGGGCTCCACAGTCCTAATTGGTAAGCTTCTGATGAGCTGACTGAGCACAGTACACATCATGTAGCACTTTTCACATTGCCAAGTTAACAGCTATCACCAGAGGTAGAATTTAAACTGCTGGAATAAACAAAGTCAAGGGGAAGTATCTTGCTGAAATGTCACCTCCCACAGAGCTTGTGGAAAGCCATTACTATTGTAAAGGTGCATATATGAGATTTTAAAATTTACATTATGTCTCAAAAGATATACTTCAAGAATGCAAAGCATATGTCAAGGGCAAACAATTATTTTTCCCAGAGATTAAATAAGATTGCCATTTTTTTACATGTTGAAAACTTCCTGGTAGGTTACGGATGTTATTTTATTATCCAATGTGGTCTGTCTATATCAACTAAAATACAGTTCACTTGAGGAAAAAAATTTAGTAATTTGTGGTTATAAAGTTTTAACTTACCTGCCCTACTTCATCTGAAAGACAGGGCTATAATCTCAGACAGCTACCAGGAGAGCTAACTGGCTCACAAACTGGAAGAACCTTATCTAAGTGGGAAGTGTACTGTGCTTGGAGGTAGAGTTCCTCAAGCAGTAACACTGTGCCAAAGCAGTGCCAGAACTGTGGGCTTAAACACCAAATGTCTTTCTCTTTTGTTCTGTCCCTTCTATCAGAAGGGACATAAACATAAAGATACCTGAGAAAACAGAGGAACTCTCAGCTGGAGCTGCTGGCAGAGCAGGGACTTGAAAATGTGGACTGAAGAGCAGGGTCAGAAACCAAGCAGCCTGTGCAACATCAGCCCTATAGGTTTTCTTGGGAATGTCAGATGCTGGAGTCCTGATCAGACTGTGCTGCAGAAGGGAGGGCTGTGCTGCATGGAGGGATCTGCAGAGCTGGGACAGAGGTCCAGCTGAGTGCTGAGTTTCATCTTTGTCCCCATTCCCTGCACTTCTGGGCCAGAGCACAAGGCAATGGTCCTGAAGAGCAGCAGCAGCAGTGAGTATCTCTCAGTGCTGGCTTATCTAGGGACAGCCCCACCAACAGAACTGGAAGATCTTGAAGGCTCTGATTCCAGCTAATACTGCCTGACATATTGTTTATGGGCACTGCACAAAGACTAGGTATCTAGGGAAAAGGGCAGCATGTTGCTGTACCAAAGGAGGCAACAGACTGGAGACTGCACATGTCACAGAGGCTGAAACAAAAAACGCATTTCCAAATTGACACTTTGTAAGTATTGGTGAGGTGCCCTGCCCTCTCCAGAATTTCTGGCTCTTGCCCTGGCAGATCCCACAGCAAGGTGTCATGGTCCGTAAAAATTGTCATGTTGAACGGTGGAGCAAATAGAAAGGGTGGCGATGGCTGGAGAACGGGATGGTTTCGTAAGCGGGGGTTGCTGGTCAGAGAGCTCCCAGTCCTGCTCACGATGCGGAGCAGACCAGCAGGCGCCGGGTTCTGGGGAAGGAGGCAGCGGCTGCCCTGTGTGAGAGGAGCAAACTGAGCTGGCACACAACCCGGTTCGCGGGCAACCAGGATCATTTTTTGTTTGCCAGTAGCTATACGTGTCACCCAGCCTGGGGCACTGTCACACACAGTCGCTGGTGATAAAATAAATAGGTGGAATATGAGAATTGAAGCAATTCAAAGAAGACCAAGAGCCCTCAACAGGGAAGTGTTACCTTGGAATAAAGCACTATTCTATTTGAAATCCTTGGCGTATACATTAAAACCGCACCTTTTTTTTTAATTCTTCCGTCCCCAGCCCTTCCCTGTCCTCCTCGCTGAGGTGACCCTGATGTAAGCGATGTACGAAACACGTGCATGTGAAAGCGCTATTGCTGAGACTGAAATCCCAGAGTGGTGTCTATTTCCCTGCCTCTGGCATTATTCTCCTCCTTGCGCCGGGGCAGTAGAAGTGCTACTAACAAATTAGAGAATCTATCAAGCTTCAAAAGGGACAAAGCCTGGTCAGGAGGTGTTAAATCAGCCCTGCTCCCAGAGGGGAAGGAGGTCTCCGACAAATCGGGCAGGGAGCAAGAACACGAAAGTCCGCAGGAGCCGGGAGAGAGCAGGGGCACCCGGACCACACCCTGGAGACCCAAAAGGGCTCCTGCCCTCCTGACTGCTTTGGGTTTTGATTGTTCTTCATCCATGATTTGAAGAAAAGGAGAAAAAAGTATTCTTTTATGAAGGGGCAGACAAGTAAATTATTATTTTGCTTCTTGCTTGACTTGAGGGCTAGAGATTAATCTATTTAGCCCTTTCTCTGGTTTGAATTAATGTCAGGAGGAAGAAACGCACCCGGGAAAATTAGACAGGAGAAGGATCACCTTTAGCTAAGACCGTACTTTTCGTGCATTAGTTTATTTGTGCTTATTTTTCCCACGACTGTTCTCCGATTGTAAGGAAATATACCAAGCGCGAAATAAACGTTTCGACAAAGTAAATAACTGTTATTACTTCTACACGTCCATAAATATGGTCTAAAACCAATAATTGATCCCAGTACTTTTCATTTCTCTGCTTCCACTCACTGAAGGACACCGTGCAACGAAAACCGCGGAGGGCAAGGAGCGAAGGGGTTGGGGAGAGAGGGGGAGAGCTGGGCCCGGCTCGGAGGCGGTGGTCCTGCCGGGGACAGGTGACACGAGACTTCTTCCCCGCAGCAGAGCTCGGAAGGGCCCTCTGAGGAGTGTGGCAACGAAGAAGCTGGTTAAAAAAATAAAAATAAAAATAAAAAAAGGGCCGGGGAGATGCTGGAGATGGATGGAGAGGACAGAGCTTACACCTGGGCTCGAGAGGTCTGTCCCCCAAAGCCCGGGCTCAGGCGCCGCTTGGCGTGGCGGGCGCTGGGCGCCGCAGGACGGGGACGCCAGGGCCGGGCCGGGGCTGCAG